TGCAGAGGAAGGTGGGGGCACGAGAGAATATAGCAGGGGATCCGTGAGGAGCACAAACAGGAAGGGGGTGGGAGCAGGCCATGGAAAATTCACTGCCAGGAAAGGCAAGGCCAGCATCTGGTTTGCATTAGGCTGAGAGCATCGAAGCCCGAAGCCTGAGTAGGAGATATTGTTATCCGCAGGGCAGGGCTGGGGGGTGGGGGGTGTGACTGCTTGCTAGTCAGGAACTGGCGGCTTCTCCCCCACGGGGAACTCAGAGGCTGACAGGAAAGAAGAGGGAAGGTGAGGGAGAAAGGAGTAGAGAGAAATGAAACTCTCATTTCAAGGGTGGCAGACCCTTCACAGATGTTACCTTCTGTGATGTTCACAACCTCACCGGGGACAATCGTGCCCGTTTCACGGATGAGGAAACTGAGTCCCAGAGAGGTGAGGTGATTTGCCCCAAGGCCACAGAGCCAAGGAACCGCAGAAGCAGGATTAGATTTCAAGCCAAATGAGACAGGGTGAAACACACAAACTATCTTGGGTAGACTGAGGCTGACCACGTCCCGGACAAGGGGGTCCTGAGGATTTGGTGGTGAGTGCGGGCCAGCCTCTGCCCACGGGGCCACTCATTTCTCATGGGGGTGTCTGACCGTTCCAATCGTCATGACACAAGGTGGACATCTGTCTGAGGGCTCCCCCCCTCCCATGCCACAGGGGAAGGCTTGCTGGCGGAGGGGGTATTCGCAAAAGAGATTTATCAGCAGTGGGTAGGATGTGCTGTAGGGGACATTGTGTGAGGAAAGCGGAGGTGTAGGGCATGTCTGGGGCAGTAGCAGCTGGCCTGGTGTGCCTTAGAGGGTGAGATTCCATATTACAGTTGGGGAAACCGAGGCACAGAACGTAATATGCCCAAAGGTTTATAGTCTAGAAGTGGGGTGTGAATCCGGCCTGACACCGGGCCTGTGCTCCTCACTGCTACACTGAGGTGTCCATGCATGCCGGTGGTTGATATCGAGGGGATATCGAGGCCAGGGATGGGGGGTGGGGCAGGTGGAGGTTCTTGCCCAAGGCCACACAACCGACTGGTGATAGATAGAGCCTGGGCTGGACGGGCTCTTTCCAACTCAGCAACCTGGCCAAGGAGGGGACAGACAGCTCCGTCTTCAGGCCGAGTGAAAGCCTGGGGCCTTGGGCATGTAAAGGAAAGTTCCCACGACCCCTTAGGGTGTCTTACCTTTCCTGGCCCAGAGCCCGGGGAAGGAGGGCCCCAGAGCCCGGGAAGGAGGGCCCCAGAGCCGTCTGCTGCCCGCCGAGCCACGAGAGTTAATAATTACGGGGTTTCAGGAGATAGAGGCCTGCTGGGAGGGGCCTCCCTCCTGGGCTGCTGCTTCTCAGAGATAGCAAAGGTTAGCGTGAGGCTCAGCCCAGGGGTGGGGGAGAAGGGCTTCTGCTGCTCGCCTGCTTGGCAGTCTCCGGAGGGACCTTCAGGCTGGCCCTGGCAATGGATGCCCCCAAGGAGCACACCAGGTGTCCTGCCCGAGGGACATGCCCCGTGTTCCTGGCAATGAGCTCGGGGGCTGTCCGCTACGCTCCATCGGTTCTGGGACCTGCCCTTGACGGGAACTTGGGAGAGGAGCCTTGGGACCCAGACAGGTGAGCTAGTGACCTTGATCATAGAGGGGAGGGGAGGAGGATTCTTGCCACTCTGCAGGGGCACTGGGGAGGAGGGGGTGAGAGGCCAGGCTCCTGACGGGGGGACTGGCATGGAATCATGAGGGATTTCATGAGCCTCCTACAAGGTCAGTTGCCAAGGGGTGACCCTGATTCTCTAACTTGGTGGTTGTACAGACACAGAATCTGAGGCTCAGAGAGGGCAAGGCACATCTCCTGGGTCACACAGTGAGCTGAGGAGAGACCTAAGTTCAGAATCAGGGCCTGGGTCATCCAGGCCGGCAGTTTCCTGCTCATCTGTTTCCAGCCAAGGGTCTGTGGTCAGGGCTGTCAGGTGGGGATGGGGATGGCAGGGAGGAGGGTGGGGAAGGGCAGTGTTTTAGAGGCAGAGGACACACCTTTCACTTCTCCCTCCCCTCCAGCTGGCCAGGCCTCTCCTAGGCTCCCCGTTTGTTGTCTGACTGCACTGCACGTTGTCTGACTGCACGTAGCTGCAGCCTCTAGTGAGTTCTCTGGCTTCTGGGCTGTCCTTCCAGAAAACTGGTGTAAGGGGTCTCAGCCCCATCACCCCTGGCTGTGTGATATCAAATAGGTTCCCGAACTTCTCTGAGCCTATCCTTTGCAGCTGAGGAGCAGAGCTCAATGGGCGGTGGGAGGAGCTAGTGAGACCCGGGAATCCACTGGATGACCACTGGATGTATAGATGACGTGATGTTTTTGGGTAGTACTTGGGTGTCCGTGCTCCCAGAGTGGCGATCCCACATCTGTCCTTGGAGGCCTCGCTTAAGGGCCTCCACAGCCCACTAGCCATCCCCCCTCCTGCTAAGGACTCTTCCTCTGGGCTGACACCCTCTCCATGCCTTATCTCCCACCAGTCTGGGTTACCCTGACTTGGACCAGGTCTTATCTCCTGCCCAGGCTTATGAAGTCTTGGAGGGTAAAGGCCCTGTCCTGAGCTCTATTTGTGTCTTTTCCTCCTTCCTCTAAATAACGAACAGAGCACGTGTCGGGAAGACCACTGTTGCTCAACGCTTATTTGGTATAGAATTCAAGTCAACAAACATGATGACATCTGCTTTGGGCCAGACTCTGGGATGGGCTGGGGTAGGTGGAGAAACACTGCACCGAGAAGGACCTGGTCCCTGCCCTTGAGAAACCACAGTCGGGGAAACAATTGCCCCACAGAGTGAAGGGCGTTGGAGGCCTGGGTAGAATGATTCTGGTAGGTCAGAAGGGATGTCACAGTGGCCTGCACAGGTTGTGCACTGCACGAGGTGCCAGCCAAGGGAGTGAGTGAGCAAGGCATGAAATCTAGCCTGCCCTCCACTCGCCAAGTCCTGTACCTTGGCATGGGCTGTGCCCACCTGGAAAAGCAGTACTGTTTTCTATTTTTGCCAAGGACACCATGCACTTAGCAAGGTGTGCCCTGGGCAAGCCGTGACCCTGGAAGTGGAAGTCCTTGTGAGTATGTCTCCCACCCCCCGTCTCCCTCCCATATCGGAGCCCCAGGATAATAGAGCATGCGTCTGCAATTTCCCTTTGGATCCCTAGCCCTTGTATGGTCCACAGTTTGTGTTCCGAAGGGGTACGTGAACGAAGGAACAAATGGATGAATGAAAGAAATGTGTGTCCCCAAATGAAGACCTGACAAATTCAAGCCTGTGGTTTCAGCTCTGTGGGCTCGGAAGAGTAGTGCCCTGAGTTCTGGTAGCTTCTGGAAGGGAAGCACCTCCTTCCTCCTGGCCTCCCAGGCCTCCCTAGACATGGAGGGTGGAAGCTCCCGTCCCTGGCCGGAGATTAGAGCTATATTCTCACTGGATCCAGCCCCGGGCTGAAGTCGAGGCCAGTGATCAGGGCTCAGGACGGGTGACAGAGGGACGGAGGGACTCAGGAACAGGAAGACCAGTGGTCTGGGATGCAGTAAAAGGTTTTGCAGAGGACGTGAGACCAGACGGGTGTGCTTGGTGGGGGTGCATTCCCCTTAACTACAGATGCTGGGGAAAGACAGGGAAGGGACGGGCAGTGAACCCGCTGTTCAGAACAAGACGGAAAGGCCCCTTTGCGGGGCTGGCGGGGGGTGCCCGGGGTTGAAGACTCGGGCCAAAGGTGGGTCCTCCCTTGGGAAAAGCGGATAGGCACCCAGAGTAAACCCGAGGAAGCTTGTTTTGGGGGCCTGGCCCCTTTCCCACCACGCAGGAGCAGGCACAGAGCGGGGAGCCCAAGGAAGCACCACCCCCGGGCGCCCCGCGCCAGCCCCGCAAAGGGG